TACATATTATAAGAATCCTAATAATATTTACTAATAATGATAATCCTGGACAATCCAAGTTAAGCAAGTCTTGTATTATGTGTACTGGACATACTTAACTATATTTTTTTGTATATACATACATAATATACATAGGAAACACCCAGTATAATATAAAAAAAATAGAATACAAATGGTTATACTGTGCGAGGAATCGAGCCCGCAACCATAGTAAGTAGGTATACCGATGTGCTAAATCGCTAGACCACTGAGCCCATCAATAATGAATGAATATATCTGTACCAGTAAAGGACATATATAAATATTTTGAATTAATATATAACTTAGAAAACATTGATTTGATTATTCCTGGTTAAAAGTACGTTTTATTCTGTAAAAATTTCTAGAGATTATAAAGATTGTTTTGTAAAAATTGTAATTTATATAAAAAGAACCGTATAATAACAATGTTGTGACAGTACGCTCATACAGACATCCTACTGAGCAATATTAAACGTAAATTATAAATACACACAATATTCGCAGAGTAATAATTTGAAACAGAAGCAAATCAGGCGCCCGTCCCACCAATTTGAACACAAATCGAAACGTAATCACTTTCGACAATTGTATTTGGACGTCCGCGGAACGTAACTTCATTCCCGTTCCGATCGAATATGATCGAAATCCTAACAAATATTGCAAACTGTGGAGGGTTGTTATTGTAAACAGATTTTTTAGTTTATTTAACATAGGTATTTTTATTTAAAATTCAGATATACATATAAGAATAACGATTTACTAGAAGTCATTCTTAACTATTTCAACTGCCAAGCGGCTTGCTTTCTAAGCGGTGTTTTGTTTATAGAGTCAGTGAAAATATAGGCAACAGGTACAACGTCAAGTCTTCCGGAATGTCAACGTATGAGTGGTATCATTATAGTGATAGGTTTAAAAATTTGAGTATATCGAAACAATCTGTAAAACATTCGTCGAAATTTGAAATAATTTAAAATAAAATTTCGCTTTACGAATTGACACTTCATTATATAATAAGCCCAATTGCAGCTTTTGTTAATGTGTAAAATCAAGGTAAATTAATTTCCATTGCATTCAATTACCACGCTAACAATACGTAATTTCTCTACAAAAATGAGCAACCAATTTACATTGTTCAATTGAGTTAAATTGATCAATTTAATATTTATGCAACATATTTATTTATTGTTAACAATGAACTTCGAAGAATATTCGGTGTAAAAATATTATATTTTAAATGTAAAATGTCTTACTATAAATATCGGCCATAACGCGATATCTTTGGCGTTTCACATTCACAATTGCTACCTCAAAGTCTCAGGACATAGACAGAAACTACAACTATTCCGCCTTCCCTCGCGTTTGCCTGTACACAAGAACGGGGCCATTTATCATAATCATCTCGATTATATCGCGCGCCCCTCGTCGGCATTTAAACACCCTCGATTTAACTGTTATTGTGAATTTTTTGATTCGGAACGTGTCTTTTGTTATCGGTAAATCGCAATGTAGTATGAGTAGCAATTTTGAGTTTCATCTTTCATGTTCTTTAATGAGGCTCGTTTCGTTTGATGATTAAGTACCGTGAAAGCCAATTATTTACATCGGCTGGACCGACACTAAACGTAAACTAGGGCCACATTAGACGGAAGAGCCGCCAAGCCGTCCGATCGACAGATGAACCGTGGTCTAGCGACCAATATGCCAATCGAACGGCGTCGTCGATACGAGCCGTCGGACTCTTATCGGAAATGTAGGAGATCCTAAAATAGAATACACCTTCCAGGAGCAAACAAAGCAAGAATATTTCAATTTTGTTTTCTTCGTTTAAGATACAACGAACACGAGTTATATTTAGAAAGCTTGTGGGTTTATTCGTTTGTTTTAGGTTTCGTATATGTACCTACTGCACCTTAGTGTGTGCAGTCAAATCTAGTAAATGGCACTTGAGTAAGAGAGATTCCTCACAAATTATACTTACAACAAGGTCCCTGCAGTTACGCATTGAGTCTCAATCTCAGAGATAACATTTTTATGCCACCTCTGTTGTTGAATATTTGTAGATACTCTATATGTGTAATAAAATGTATGGAATATATAATTAGCTGGATTATATAATATAGACAGATCAATTAGCTGTTGATACATAAATATAATATAAACTAGAGATTTTCATTGAAATTTTCACACCTTTTAGAAATAAGCCTACTGTCACTTCAGACCTGCAAATTTGGAAAGCGGGTAAGTGCCTAATCTTTATAACTGATAAAAAAATCACAAGAAATTCCAGTTACCTATACGTTTCAGTGCATTTAATGAATTCTTGCCTATTGAAGATTGACTTGGTGTTCTAATTAATAAGAAAAATAATAAGCGCTCGTCTATTGACACGGGTCCCCGACGTCGGAGCTGCGGAAGAGTGCTTGCGTACACCAGTGGCTCCGGCAATATTCGGCATACATGTTGAAAAATTCTAGCTAACTGGCCGTTTACTCTCAAATATAATCGATCATTCCTCGAGTGTGTGTCGGTGTGAGGTTTCAATCACGTCAATGTCTCTAGAACTCAGTGCCTTGAATTTAAAACAAATGTAAACACATTATTAATTTTAGAAATTATTCACGAAATCGATTGCCCTACCCAATTCTAGTGCACAGTAACTTGCTCTGTTATGTTCTGAAGTGAAGGGTAAGATGTTGTAATAACACTATCAGAGGTACCACGGGCAGCACACTATATTCTGTAATGACCGTCGTGTATGACGTTTTTTTTTTAAATTTTATTATAATTTAATTGTGCACCTGCCCGTGCTAACGGTTTTCTCTGGCGGATACCTGTGGAGGATAATAGGAGTATGAGGTCAGGTTAGTTAGCCCATCATGACTTTGCTAAGAATTTCTCTAAATGTTTCCGAAGGGAGGTCGACCTGGCATAGTACATTGCTAGCAATGGATCCTTTAGACCACATTACTAACAATCCTCTTTCATCCTACTATATTGCATACTATATTGTTTGCAGTTCCAATTTAATTCATTATTTTAAGCTATGTAATTTACTAACACATTCATAATATTAGAATTATCTTCCACTTTTAATTTCGGCAAAGGGCAAGCTTGACGGTGAGAAATCCCTAGTTACACAATTCGTCACAACACCCTGCTTTATAGTCCAAGAGCTAACTCGAGTGTCATTAGCAGTTATAATAACTACTTTATTACATTATAACAAAGGCGCGAACGTTGTTAGGGGGCGCTTTTGTTTCAATTTGAATGTGCTGAGAAATTATTACCACGATTTGCATAGCCAGCCCATGTGGAACATGTAAAATTATTATGCGGGCTTTTTATGGTTATAAGAGTTTTGTAGCAGGAAAGTATGGGTTACAACACGCACTACTAGATTGCCTGTAATTTTTGTATTATTGCAAAGTAATAGTATGACTTTATTATATAATAGCTGACCCCCACAACTTTAGCGTCACGTTTTTATCCGTTTTTGCGACATTACTCATTACAACTCCGCTCCTATTAGTCGTTGCGTGATGTTATATAGGCTATTATATGTAATATTATCCTTATCTAGCTAGGCATAGCATTCTTCGATAAATGAGCTATCCAGTATAAAACAATTTTCATAATCAGATCACTAATACCGGAGTTTACACCGAACATCCAAACTCACAAACTTTGCCTTTATATAGACACTTCATTGGCGTGAACAATTCACACAGTGCTATCTAGTCATAAATAAAGCTAAGGTTGTAATATAACTACTAAAGAACTATTATACAGTAAATGAATGTTGCTTGCAAGTCTGTCTGGTCTACCTACATAAATAGAAATTGACATTCGTCCAGACAGACTTGCAAGCAAAAATGAACATTTTTGCTTCCAAACATGCTCATTTTTGCTTGCAAGTCCAACCACATATTAACAAATGCTCATTTGTTAATATGTGGTTGAAATAGCAAACAGGCTGATGGCCCTCTTGATGGAACAACCACCGCCGCTTGTATACATGACGCCCGCACCACATCTCACGGGACTAAGTTGTTACAAAGCTGTTCGACAGCAAATATAGATACGATAAAGGTACCCGATGCAGACAAAGTGTGCCTCAGTTAAACTTTACTCATGTGCGGTTTCCATTCATGTCCCATACATAACGTCCGTCCGTCCGCGCGTTCTGTTTACTTGAACTATATCTATGCTAATTCAAATTGCAGTCCCCTTATGCTCATTAGGGCTATTTGTAATGCAATCTATGCAGTGTATCGGAGTTTTTCGTCGGCATGTTGTTGGTGCGTTGCCATGACAACGCTATCTTTACGATTTTATTGTCTTGTTATCTAGTAGGTAGTGAAAACGTTGAAAACGGGGTACTCAATTTCGAGTTTCAGTGATAGTGGATGGAATGAAGGAGACAACTAGATGGCCTGCTGGATTCATCGTGAATTACTACAATATTTTAAATATAAATTTTAAGCTACTTATCTATTTCAAGTATATTTTACTTCTAAGCCGTGATGGCATAAAAACGAAAAATATACGAACATGTTTATGCTAGTCGCCTACCCTGTTTCCCCGGGTGTCCGGTGTCCCTGTAACAGATTACAATATATAGAGAGATAATTCCCTCATCGTTGCAAAAATTCCGTGTTCCGATATTTACTTTATTTCTAACAAATTCCTCTCTCTTTCTCTCTTTCTTTAAATCATATTATAAACTAACTGTGTCCGCAGTTTCATCCGCGTGAAAATTATAACCTATGTTATATTTTGATGTAAAAATCACTTTAGCAGTTTTTGGGTGAAAGAGTAACAGACATCCATCTACACTCAAACACAAACTTCCGCGTTTATAGATTTTAGTGAAATCTTTTAGTAATAATTTAGTTTTAAGTAATACGTATACTATAAAAACATGCAAAAATATTTAGATATCAGTTATACAAAACACTAAATGTTCTCATTTGTTTTAGATCCATATCAGATGTTCGGTCCTACAAGCAGTCGCCTGGCAAATTCAGGTAAATATACATATATATCTATACTGTGACAATAGATAAATAGATTTCAATTGCATTTAGACTAAAAACGAAGCACAATAGCTATAAAACATATATCTAGATTTACTATAATAAATTTAATTTTACATATATTTCACTTCTACTTCTACTCTACTAGTAATACTAATATCATTTACTCTATCTGCAACTAAGCATAGGCTGTAGTGCTGATGGTAGATGATAGAATAATTTTGAACCCCAACAGCCTTACAGCAAATGTATTGTGTTGACCAAAGTGGTACCAAAATAGGACGGAGTCCTCACGGTGTATATTACTAGTAATGGGATAAAAGTATCCATTACCAACTATCCCTTCCCCCCTGGCAAACTTGCGAAGACGCATATCGATCAGGGGTCGACATTAGCTTTAAAATATCAGATGTAAAATAAAAATTATATAATATATTGAAATCATGACTGAGTATTTGTATATAAAAATATACAAAATTAATATTATTTCGTATTTATAGCTGTGTATTTGAAATTAGAAGTACCTATAGATGAAAAAGCAAATGTAATATGGAAACAAAAATTGTTTGTATAGCTCTACATTAATAGAGTATTTTTATTAATTGTAATATTTGGCATTTCTGTTGGAAAAGGTTGCGGATTCCTGGTATAACTGATAATAATCTTCAAATTCTAATTGTCTTGCCATCGAGGTCATTTGGGACTATAAATTCCTGTCACCAGAAAAGCTATTTTTGTAGTTGCAGATGAACTGAATACAATTTATTACAGCAATCCTCGCAACATATAATAAAGACAATGATGAACCACGGTAACGTAGCAGTTTACCATACTACCTCGGTTTCCAAAGATCGCGGATTTGTTAACTGAACTCATTAAACATTTAATTACAAAATATTTCGTAACTTGTTCAGTTTTATTTATATACGTAATAATTATTATTTTGTTATATTAAAAGAAATTTCTTAAGAAAATGAGTTTAGGAGAGTTTTCCCGGGTGTATTTAATTCTAGACATATGAAAACAAATACATTTTATAACTTGAGATATCACTGCATATTTATGTCACGGTAGTGTCAATCTCGCTATAAAATTTACTAATAAAACACGTTGCACGCAATATACATAGATGGCGTTGATAAACCATATCGTTGTGGGAACAGCGGCTACGTCACGAACTTATGTACATTCCGTATTTTATCTGTCTATGATCAGCCCTTACGAAAGTCAAAATGTTAATAGGGTAACTGCCCGTCGAACCGGCCGGCGCACGCCACACACTTATCACGAACTAGATTTATGTAAATTGCTGATATTACGTCGATATTAAATACGTGTCAGTTTTTATGGCGTTCGAATGTGTTGCAAATTATTAAACCGTTCGGTGATTCAAATTAGTAATACTGAATGACTATAATAATTAAATTAACCGTAATAATGGAAATAGCCTTCGAGTCAAAACAATACGCTTCTTTTCAACTTCAAAGAAATAAAATCACATCATATTCAATCCATACGTTTATGTGACGACACGTGGAACTGTACGATGCCACAATCAGTCTCACAGACATACAGTAGACATGCGATACTTATAACACCCTTCATTTTTCCTCATAGGTTAAAAAGGAGACGTTTTACAAAGTCTGCGTGGGCACTTCTGTACCACATATATATTTTTAGGTCTTAGCAGTTTGCATTATAATATTACGGTTGAAGATACAGATACATATAAAATTATATTATACACGGAAATAACACACCATCCTAGGGAATGACAAACCGTGAGGGGCACCACTGGGACATAACGCGATATCCGCACTGCTGTTATGTAGGTATATAGGCGAAGCATCTCGCATAAAAAAATAGGCCTTCAGTTTCTTAGAAATTCTATTAATTATGCTAACAGATCTGCAATAATGCATTTTCTACCTTTGTAAGTAACGATTGTTAACACATATATATGTTGGTGACGGGCATTTTGCTTTTAGTTTTTTTAATAGACGAGTGTTACATACACTTGCCTGTGTTAACGAATTTACTAGAAGAGCCACAATGGAGAATGATGAGATGAGCATAAGTTCAGAGCAGTTGGCCCATCGTAATAAATTCTCCTTGAATTTATCGCGAAGGTTTCTAGGTAGACTATAAAAACCGTGGTCAACCTGATATAATACATTACTAACAATCCCCTTTCGCCTAATTTAAAAACAAGTGGGGTTTTTATTTGATTTTATATTGAGTTGTAAAAGTGATAATGGTTTCCAGATACTTAAAACCACATATACACCATCGTATGGACAAAATTGTAATTAATTATCTGTAATTAACAACGATTTAAAGTGAATTCTTAACTTTAAAGTTGCTCTAAATAGATAGTATTATATTCACAGAAATCTAAATGCTAGAGGGGAGAAAAGATAATGATCGTAGATTAAAAATAATCACAACAACGTGCAGAGGGGTGCATTGAAAATAAAAAGCCATCAATGTTAATTATCGGCATTAAACAACACATTACGGTTGATTCCAACTACCTACCACCTTTCACCTTTGAGCGGCGTTATACACAGACAGACACACACCCACATCGTACAACTACAAATATCTTTATTATAAATATCTAAAGTTGACAACATCTTTCAATATATTATAGTCTGTTTTCTAATCGCGGAGACAAATTTGACATTACCGATGTTACCAGGTTTTTGCAATTTTTAAATAGGGTTGTGGCACTAAAATTAGTATGCATTACACTATTTTTATAGGTTATTCAGAAATAATGAGTGTTTGTTTAAAATGCGTATTACAAAATTAACAAAGTATGGGTATTAATGAATATAGAATTTATTATTTTTCACTAAAATAAATACTAACTGCCTATTTTATAAACACCAACTGATTTTCATGTGGTGTCATATTAAATACACTTATGGTATTTTAAATATTTAGCTACTTAAAAACATTAGATACTACATTTACGCAAAACCACAAAAATGTATTTTTGTGTTGAACGACAGTAATGAAAACACTAGTATATGAAAATCTGTTATGGAAACGTCTTTAAGGCTCAAAACTAATATTTTAAAATAGAAATTTTCGATTAAATTAATCTGTATTGCAGGTACAGCACAACCGTGCTATTGGCTGTGTCAAGAATTTTAATGTCAAGTTCTATTTCTAACTCCAAACATTGTCAAATGTTAGTTTATATCGCTTACTAGCTGCAGCCCGGGAATTCGTCCGCGTAAAATGACGATACTTCCATATAGTATTTCATCTCTCCATCCAAGCCCTTGCAACCCTTTTTTCACATTAAAAAGTAGTCTACGTCCTTTGTCAGGGTCTTAACTATCTGTGCACCAAATTTCATTTAAATCGTATCAGTGGTTTCAGCGTGAAAGCGAGACAGACAGAGTTACTTTCGCATTTATAATATTAGTAAGGATATTTCATTCTAATGTATAAGCTATATTACCGTAAGGTAGTTTTTGCGTGAAAGAGTAACAAACATACATCCATACTAGACTATACATGAAGGTGCAAGTCCTCAATCTACCCTCGGAACCCCAGCTAACTTTGCACTAAGCTGCTTCAAACTACTTTCTTAATATCTTAGAAATTTTCTTCTAGGAGGAAATAATTGACCAAAAAGCCACTGGTGCGAAGACTGATACATGAACATCTACATACTACGAACATCATAGTATGTAATAACGATGATACCACTTATGTGTTGTACAAGGTCAGAAAATCGTGTCTCTTACCTGTATCTCACTGCACTAGCAACATAAAATGAAGATATAATAGCAATATCTGTTTTAAAACAAACAATTACGTTCAAATCAAAGCGTGTAACTTAGTACCACTAAATTACTTGTGGCGCGGGCGCGGGCGTCGTTTGCAATAATATCAACGCAATACAATTATTGGCACGTGGCAACCCTATGTCCTAATTATTAAGAATGGTTCACACGGGTGCGCCACGTCACGAATTACCTGCCGTTTGACTTACCAAAGGGCGTTTTTTATTAGTAATTTAAACGCTATATACGCAGTGAAATGACGACAGAAAATCACTTATTATTATACTGCACTAATGGCCCGCCTCAGTTTCGTTGGGTGCATATAACTGTGAGTTTTTTACGGTACAAACAAAATATAGAATTAGGTAAAATTTGTTATTTCTGTATACAATAGAAAATAATGTTTTTTAAAGAAAACCTAATATAAGCGCTTTACGGAACGCAGATTCATTACGAGAAGAATGAGGATGAAACTCTCGTGTTTCTTTTTTAAATAAATGTTGTTCTAAGTAAACACATTAAGAAGGATTAGGCATGCAACAATCATACACACACATAGGTATAGCTACGCACTCAGTCTTTATGTAATCATGTAATATTGTAAGTGTTATGAATTTTAAGTTACATTTTTTCCACAAAAACATGACTATATATTATTGTAAGTACGTCTGAGTGAATATCGCAGTCTCACATATTTAAGTTGCCAAATTTACGTCATAACGTTATTGTGTTTCGGTAATAGAGTGAAATAATGCATTACAAAAACTGGATACTCATATCCTCTATCTATCTAGTTTGATATCTTAGGCAGCCGGAATGGAATATGTACTAATGTTACACCACTCGTATGTGAGTGGTGTAACATTAGAACATATTATTCATAGTGCTTTACATGGCAACAGTTACCACTTACCATTACGTGTTCATTCGGCTGATTTAGTTTTCCAATTACATGAAACATTAAATAACATACATAAAACAGTGTGTAACAGTGTAGGTTTTAAACTTATAGCTATCTATTATAAATATATTTGCAATAGGAAAGTAACAAAATATATCCCTTTGTGAGATATATAAACTTTATTGCAAAAAAAGTCAGAAGGATATCTTTCTCCCCTATTAGACTAGTCGGCTTGATAGAAATTATAGCCCCAACATCTAGTGCGCAGAGGCACAATATTTTGCCGATTGGGGCATTAATTGTGAGTCATAAAACCGATGAGGCATACGCCACACAATGTATCTAGCAAGGCGGATGCTCCACGCAAGCGCTACGAGAACACGTTGGCTCTTCGTTATAAATCACGGAATGTAACGCTCGTGTGGTCCTACCCTTACCGTCTGGAGAGTAGCGTCAGTACATTTTGTTGAATATTTTTATTCAATTGTATAAAAAATATTTACCTTCACGACTGTCATCCTAGATGGGGTAATCAACACATGTATAGGGGGTCGAGATCGTGTTAAACTCAAAACTTGACACGTCCACATTTCGATCGATCTCTAATTAATTTGGTTTATTATCTATATTTTCATGAACGGCGAATCAGTCTGAAATATAAGTAGATACGTAAAGTTATTTTTACGTATCAGCCAGAATATAACTCACGATTTTTGGTGTAGGTCAGCAGTAAAATCAAAATAAAAAAATATTTATTCATGTAGAACATTTTAAGAGCTTATGAACGTCAAGTTTTTGTATAATATTTTCCCTCAATCGTTAAGAAACTCAATTGAAATTGTTTTTTTTAGTCTTAATCCTATCGTAAAGTTTTTCTATACGCATTCACATAAGAGACCCATTGACTTTTTCTGAACGATTTACGCATTTAGGTTTTAATTTAGGAACAGTAAGTTTGTCTTTAAATCTTAGTAACAATGTTATGAATATGGTATATAATAGTAAAGTAGTTTCCAGGTTATCCCAATAACGTAGAAGTGTGTTCAAAAATATACAAGCTAACCCAAAAATATGTACAAAAACAGATTATGTACAAATATGTACAGAACAGTACAAAAACAGATTCGTACAAGTGACGTTCTGTGAATGATATTAGCAATAATTTTTTTGCTAACAGTATAAGTTGGTTCCACACGGGTGAGTCGGAACGCTTCGTGCGAGATCGCGACACGGCCGCCCAATATTGTAACATGTCGGGTCAGAAAACATTACACCCCCAGAAAGTACTGTTGCTACGCCCAATGGGTTTTCTTTTAAAGGGAAAACATATTGCGTACCTTTATTTTTGGTTGATTTAAAAAAGTTGCTGTGATTTGTTGTTGGACTATATAATATATGATTTCTCGCCAATTCACAAATAATAGTCCTATTTTAATTTTTTTTTTTTTGTAAGAGAGTGGAATAAGTTGGCGCTATGAATATGAAGTAAGCTCATAGTGATGACCATGTGGTAGTCTACCTATCATAGTACATTATTTGCATTAGGACCACTACTTCCTTTTAGTAACAATACCCTTCCCCCTCCCCCCTCTATTTACTATACATCCGTTAGTCTGATTGGATATCTTAGAGTAAATCATTATATTGCTACGAGAGGCTCATGTCAATTATAAAGAGATTACTGAGAACGAATGAAGATTAATGAAAACGAATATCATGTAAATTTCTCAAATGAAATATGTTCGAAATTTGTTTATTAAAGACTGCTTGACAAAACTTAATCCGGTTGGTCTATATTGACCGGGATATGAAGACCTTCTATATTTCAAAACCTATCTGAATTCCAAATATTGATTAAGGCATTACAACAGCGACATACACGCCGTCTAACGAACAAACAAATTTACTTTTGCATTTACATTAGTTAGAATATGATTGGGTGATAGATAAATAGAACCGCACAAAATATGTAATATTAGTAATGCCGTTTAAAAGCATCGTCAATATATCGCTAATTCAGAGCTACGAGTATATGCCCACCACTAACCTACCATTAGAGGGCTATAAAAAGGGCGTATCATACCTCGCTTTAATTTTACTACTGCAGCATATTACCTCTTTTAATGCATTTAACTTACGACACGATATTTTTACCAAGATAAAATAAAAAAAGTGATCGTTTTAGATTGTTAATGGAAAATCATTTTATACTATCATTTACTATACCTATAATTCAGATGAATAAAGTACCTAATAATGTATACAGTTCATACGTTATTGTAATATAAAGCAAACGACGGCGTAAATACTTGTCCCAAAAAAGAATAACCTGGAAGAGCGCGAAATAATAGCTGATACGTAATCATTACATAGTATAAAACAAAGTCGTCGTAAGTAAGTAAATAAAGCTGTCGCTGTCCATCCCTATGTACCTATGCTTAAATCTTTAAAACTACGCAACGGATTTTGAAACGGTTTTTTTTAAATAGATAGACTGATTCAAGAGGGAGGTGTATATGTATAAATTCTTGTGATAATTTTGTTCGTCCGAAACCGAGGCACTTTACTAATTGTATGTAAATTGTAGAAATCCCTTTTTTATATTTTTTACGTATTAATTATCTTTTTTATTACTTATATTTCTGTCAATTTTATTACAATACAATATATAGTATCATAATAAGACCCAACTAATAGTAAATTACAATGGCATTTAAATAATGGGAGAAATAATTAGACCATTACGCCGTACAACTCAGTTGCTCACTAATTTTCTTGCACTTCTGACAAATGGAAGGGAGTGACGCCTGGGGTGGCCTATCGAAGACAACGCCCAGTAGCCGGGCTAAAAGTATTAACTTCATATACGTCTTATATATAAACAACAAAAATGTGAGCACTTCTGTTGTTTTGCCTTCAAATCCATTAATATTAGAAATGTAAAGGCGTGTTTAACTGTTTGATTATATTTGATTTGTTACTTTTTCACGAATCTTTGTGAAATTTGACGTTACGATAGATTACGTCGCAAGGATAGATAGGCAGTATTTCATCTCGTAAAATGCAAACCTAGTGTCAAGTAACACTAAGTTAAATTAGATAATTGGATTTAATAGTAATAAATGTACATCATGTCACGTATATAACGGGTGTAATACCGTTATTTCATGTGACGGTAAATGGTTGATTTCTTAGATAATTGTAACTTGTTGGAATCGAAATATTCTAATATAAATCAGAATTCCATTGAGAAATAACTAGAACAAATAAATATTATGGTTATCCACAACAGGTAAACCTCAAATTACAGGATCAGGCCAGATTCAACTGTGGCAGTTCCTACTCGAGCTCCTGAGTGATTCCAGTAACGCAGGGTGCATCACTTGGGAGGGCACTAACGGAGAGTTCAAACTGACTGATCCTGACGAGGTGGCCCGAAGGTGGGGCGAGAGGAAGTCGAAGCCAAACATGAACTACGACAAGCTAAGCAGGGCTCTGAGGTAACACAGTTTGTGACTTCACAAAAGCGAGGCGACATGTCGGGTACCCGTTTTGCTGCTTTGCGACTATGCCTTTAAGCGATTACTTTCTTCATTCTTAAATGCGTCCTTTCTTTACAATGCATGCAATAAATATAAGCACGCCTAATTATAAAAATAAATTGGGAAGTCGATATTAACGCTTTAACTTTAAACACGATATCTTAATTTTTGTTCAGTTAATCCAATTTGTTATTAAGCGTGCTTTTGTTAAAATCTGCTGATATATGTTTACATGTGTATTAAGTAATAGTTGGGCTTTTTTGTGCAGATATTACTACGACAAAAACATTATGACGAAAGTTCACGGGAAAAGATATGCGTACAAGTTCGATTTCCAAGGGCTAGCCGCTGCGACTCAGCCGGCGGCCAGTGACCCCGCATACAAGTACCAGAGCGATCTGTTCATGAGCTCGTACCATCACTCCGCGAAATTGTCGTCTTTCATGGCCCCACACACAGCCATGCCAACGTCCACAGGTAAAAAATGACCAGCATCTATATTGTGGCTATTGCGCAACGGCGAGCATACTCATATATTGTATGTCAATTAATATACTCCTCGGCCACAATTATTCATAAATAAACAACTTTTTCAAATTACAAAAATTCGTACAAATAAAAAGAGGCACTAGAGTTCATACAAGAAATGGAAAGATAGACAACACTAAAATATATAACAGTTATATAGTGAGTGTTTGTTTTATAGAAAATATAATAAATAAAAACTTTTTACAAAATATTAACGTACTGGCAGAGATAAATAAACATAATAATAATATAATTATTATTAAAGTTGAACTGTTATATTACATTTAGTTATTGCTAAATTCGGTGGGGTCGGGGTTCCAAACGTAAGCAATTAAATACTGGTTTGAATTTAAAAATTATATCGTTCTAAGTAGCTAAACGAGTGTTAATATGCACCCTTCAAATGCAGTATAGTTTACTGTGCTCTACAGTATAATCTGCATTTCTCACTACTAATGCGTACACTTGCTAGCACAAATATTGGCACGCTACTCGAAACGGGTTGTAGCTGGCACTGGAGCAGACACTCACACACACTTGACTTAATGGAATAAACTGCATTTCACTCTTTGCATGTTTTATTTTGGTGGACACAAATAAAACATGGTTTTTGAGAATCAATCAATAATTTTGGCCGAGACGTAATGCATATAAAAAAAATGTTTTTTAAGCGAATGTTTTATATACAACGTATATACCATATATAATTAATGTTTCAGTGTTATACTATTTTCATATATTGTGACTGTATATTATTTATTTCAGTTAAAATAATTATAAATTTTATTCTCAATGAGTTGTTAAAAAAATATATATATAAATACTGACAATAAATATGGAACGTAACGTTCTGTAACCATATGTCATGTCATTATTGGACTAGCATTATTCAGAATGTATGAGTTCTGATTATATTTATGTAAAATATCGATCCAATCGATAGTTTAGCAGCTCAATGAGTACGACACATATAAGCAACTGAGTAACATTATTGTTGCAGCGTCAATATTCCCATCAGCTTCGTGGGGCAATTGGGGGGGTGGGGGCAGCAATCTATACTCGCCCCACTCGATGGCGCCCCCCCACGTGACTTCGCACCTGGGTTCGTACCCGCACTACGCATGACCTGCCATCTAAACTGACCACATGCCCACCACGACTTCGATTGTACGACAAACACCTATTAGACATTTATTTTGTATTTTTTAATTGTATTGCAATTTTACTTTGCACTTATACAACTTTACAGAGTTATTATTCATACATAAAATATTTAATCGTCATAGTTATTATTATAATTCTATTATCCTTGTCATGATTTGCAATATGTGATCATTTAAACAGATCATAAGTATTTTTATTATTGTAAAGAAAGTCTTTCATACATTTTATAAAGTGCACATACTCGTAAATTCTCTCTTTTTACCTATTTAATAACATTCACTCTACTATTACTAACCTTTATTATAGGAATGTTATTACTTACCCAAAGTTACATTCAGTTCGCTTGGGACAAGAATAAGTTTATGACATGTTTAAGATATATTTATTCTTACCAATATACATATGTATTGTGTCCTGAATTAAACATACATAATTCAGATGTCTGAAAGACTTATAGTTACATATTTGGTTTTTAGTTTATACTTTTTGCTTTTATAATAGTTTTAATGGTATTTATCGTTTGAATGGTGTTGCCAACTATATTATTATTTAATTTGATGAGACGAAGAAACGAGAGCGCACGTGAACTGCAAGACTAGTCTTTTATCAAAGAATGATGTAAATAATAGATACTCATTAAATAAGTAGAATTATTTATTTAGGATATCAAAATAATAAAATTTTATTGGTCGCATTAATTAAATGTAAAATATGACGAAAATTTACAATTCGTGTGTTTGTAATTTTCGCAAAAACTATTCCAATATTTTTATTATAATATTTATTTATTAAATTATAGTGTCATTTTTTAATAATTCTGTTATTTTATTAATATTTCTATAATAAATAAAAAGGTTTCTATACATATATAAAATAGTAATAATGTTATACAGCTGACAAACACTGTAATTTCAACTTCAAATTCTTGTTATTTAATTAAAATCTTATTTACTATTAGAAATCTAAATAACTTATATTGAGCTGGTATATTTTATAAAAAAAATAATGGTATATATATTTCATTAAAATATTGAAATTGTTTTTGCGACGTCTAAATCTAATGTATTAATTCCTGGATAACACACGTTCGCCACCTGTAACCGACGACTGGTGATATTCTACTCAGTATTAATAAACTGTAAAATAACTTTTAACTAATATAAGTTGTAGTTAAATAATTGCAGCATTATCAAAAGTGTAAATCTCAAAAAAAGAAATATAATAATAATACGCTCAAGTATAAACTGCATGTGCCATTTAAGACGGTTTCATTTTTCATTGTATTTATTATTTGAATATAATAATAATAATGATAAATATCTATATAATGAATGATAATAAATACACAATCACCAATATAATGTCCGAGCTACGGCTAGTCAGGTCAGATGTTAATGAGATGTTATATTAATTTATTTAATAGCATGAAACTAACACCCAAATTCTGCATAACTATGGAATTTTGAAAATGTGTTATTCTAAGAACAGCAGTTATTGCTCTTTATGTTGCTGCATACTACATGATAATGCAAATAATAAGTAACAAACACATACCTACATACATAGTTGTCTCGTACATACTAAATATACTTAGATAATATAACGTCAGTATTATTGGAAGCAATTCAACTTAGACGTTAGGTAATAAATTATTGATATTTTTTTATACCTGCCACACAGATTTTCTTGTATGAAAAATTATCAGAATAAAATACTATATTGTTATATTTAGTATACCGAAATAATTTAAAGTATAATTATTTTTAAAATGTCTTTATTCGTAAATAATAAAAAGTATATAAGTATAATCGTTTCAATTTAATTAGTGTTGTAACTCGTTTAGAAGTTCTTTTTATTGTAAAAATAAAATACTGACATACAATATGAACTGGTAGTTCAACTTTCCGAGCCAGAGTTAACTTGTATCAAAACAACCAACAACCAAACGCAGGAAATTACGTTCCACAGTAAAGTGAAACAAACCCAAATAATGTAGAATTTCTTTTCTACTGTGAATTTATTTATGAAAATGTATATAAAATTAGATTATTTTAAAAAGTGCAATCGTACTAGTAATTTATGAATAGTTAGTAGTTTTTAATTATTATTACCGTAATTTATTGTGTATTACGACTACTAAGTTATATTTTTATAAATTATTGTTTGCGTGCATTCCATTTAATTAAAGTTTTTAATTAATCAATAGAATAAATTTTACCTAATAAATAATGGAGGATTCCTTAGAAATTACTGTAATTATTCAAAATTTATATTTTAAAGTCATTTTTTAATAATATCCGAATTTATAATTTGTAATGGCTCATTGTACGGTAGGTCGGTAAGTCTAAGTGTACGCCTACGTCTAAATACTGGAATAACATAATGAAAAAAAGATTCAAATTATTTAAGAATACTTATGAGCAATATAAATAAAATCTTAATTTAATAAATCAGTACAGTATCTCTGTAATTTTTTGTAGAATGTACCTACCTACATTGTATGAGATATAATGGGAACTTAATTTAGTTGTACCGAAATATACAATTATATGTATCAATATTAATAATTATAAATTAACTCTATCAACAGTTTCCTACATATTGTGATTTTTATTAGTCAGAAAAATGACGCCAGTCAATAGAATTAATATTTATTTATTTGTTACAATATTTTGTTTATAATTTATTTACCAAAGTTTTGTTTTATTTGTTTAATTTAATGCATGTGTCAATATAATTAAATTATTTAGCAGTAGAGTAACCATTGTATAGATGTTATTGTATTTGGAAATGAATAAACATATGAAATGTCGTTTATTTATTTTACCTCATGTATTTATAGTCATGAAGTCAAATCGAATAAATATAGTACGTATAGGTAGTACTAATTGTTATGGGAAAGTACTAAAAAATCAGTTTCACACCGATACACTGAAAAGTAATGAGTTTGAGTTATTGATACTAAAAAATCTTTGTGTGTGTAATTATATTGTCTAACTCTCCAGTGATGGAGAGAGATAAATTAAAAATAAGTCCAAATAATGGCGCTAGGTTTCTCCTGCTCTTTTGTATCCAAATGTGGGCAAGTTAAGCGTTTCGCTACTAGATGTCGGCAGTCGCGACGTCCCCGACTGTGGTGAAGGTAATATAAGTAATGTGGATTAATAACCCCATTAGTAGCAATGTAGCATGCCAGGTTGACCCCCGCGAGGGTCCGCCTGTAAACGATTGTGACAAAATTCTGTTGAATTTATTGCGATGGGCTAAGTGACCTCATTGACATCTTATTTTTACATTATTTCAAATTTTTAATACCTAAGGACAATCCACACAGCGTCATCTAATCCAAAGCCATCCAGAGGTTGTGTTAGGGGTAGGTACCAGACGACTTAGGTATATAGATATACCGATATCTCAGATCGATACAAACAATCATACTTATAAATACAAGTGGATAACCGTGTAAAGAATCGAACCCGCAACCAGCGGAAGTGCGGCGGTGTATTCGAATGCTAGACTACCGAGGACGTCCAAGGTCGTCTTTCATCTACTAGAGGCACTGGCCACATTAGTCATATAGTAATAAAGGACTATTTTATTAGAATAGACTAAATTATTTTTTACCATTACACTTTAGAGATGTAGATATATGAAAGCCCTACCTTCCAAACAACCCACACAAAAATAATTTTTAAAAAGTCGTTATATGATGAGGGGTTCAGTGTTAGCTAGATATTTATAAAAATAATAACAAAAACGATGGTCGGTAAGCATTTGTTAAGACTGATCTTCAAGCAAGAGTAGACTAGCTATCGGTTATTCTTCGGTAATGGAGTAGGGACTAGACTAGACAAGGGAGTCCCAATCCATTGCGGACTGAGAACGTCAAAGGTATTAGGATTAATAGGAAATAGAATAGATAAGCTTGTACAATTAAATGAGACTTTGTATAATTACCTCGCTAATAACGTAACGCTCTTACAATGCCGCTGTCGGACGGTTATCCCATACTTATAGGTTGTTAATTGTTCGAAACTCATTCGGCGAAACAATATTATGCGAATGTGAAGCTATTTTGAACAGACGTCCTCTTACATATGATCAAGATAACCAGAATAATTCGTTAGCGCTTTTGACCCCACCCTACACATCTTATACAATGCTTGCTTTATACCGACGTGACTGATTTAGATTAAATAGATGCTAATTATTTAAATATAAGGTTAGTAACCTTATATTTAAATAATATATAAATAGTAAAATGATATACCTAAGAATTAAAAAATTAAAATAAAACGGATATTTAACTGCTTTGGTTCAAAAAGAAAAAGAGACTAAAGGTAATTTGTAATTGGAGACATTGCATTACTTAATTGAAACAGAAGAGAAACGAGTCAAATAGGAATAATTACGGTAATATATACTGGCAAAGATGTAGTGGACAGAACCGCAAATATAAAATCTGCATTTTTAAGGTTTTAAAATACTACTATTTCAGAATTTTCAGAGGGTCTATCTATTTAGAACATTCATCGTTGATTATATTATAAATCTTTGATTATAAGCAACTGTAAAATATCTATAAATACGTTTGCTTTTTGTTTTGTTTGTCATATGGCTTGCATGTTGACAGTTATTGGCAGCCTATATTAACATTAATTTTATATAGAAAAATAAAAACGATATTTCCAACAAATTAAATAATAGAATGATATGATGAAAACTGGAAATGTAGCATTATTTGTTACCACATGAAACCTCTTTTTGTATAAAAGCCATAAAATAATTAATTAAAAATAAAATAAAAACTTCTTTTCTTTCTGTCAACACGGTCTATCATTTATTATTAATTTTATTGATTTTAAATGCATTATAAATAGATCACAGTTAGAAACACTAACAAAATTGGTGCCGAAACCCATATAATAAAATGATTAATCCATCAGTGCAAGAATCAACAGTTGACCTCAAGAGACTTCGTTTCGAACGCGGCCATTGTAATTCAACCATTACCCGGTTGGAAACGTTTCTCTCATCAGGGGTTGCTGACACTGAATCATTACATCTCCGAAAGGGAATTTTAGAGGATGCTTATAAAAAATATACCGCCATTAATGCGGACATCATGTACCACGATCCTGATGATGATGAAGGTGAAGTTCATATTTAAATTTAAATCATCACACCAAGTCTATTCCATCAACAATTTCATCATCAATATCAAAGTTGCCGCCTATAGAAATTAAAGTTTTTGATGGTAAAGAACTTTCCGAGTATATACCTTTCATCGAGATCTTCACTGCTGTCATCCACAAAGATCATAATCTCAGTGACATACAAAAGTTAATAAATCTGAAGAAATATCTACGAGGCGAGCCACTCTCTACAATTGACAATTTACCGCTTTGCAACAATTCATACCAAAATGCGTTGCTTCTTTTGAAGAATAGGTATAATATTCCGTAAGTCTGTTTCTCATAACACGTTATTACACATGGATTCGTCGCCACCAGCTATGCTCGTAGCATCTGATGGTGAGGCGGGTATAAGCGAAGTACAGGCTTCACAAGAACAGGTCATTATGCACACTACCAATAATAAGGTAAGCAATATTTTGTTGCCAATCAGGCAAAAAGGTATCAATCATCATCATCTGCTTCTTCCTTATCCCATTTATTTGGGGTCGGCGTAATATGTTTTTCTCTTCCAT